GTATATAACTGTCTAAAATAGTTTATTTTAATAATGAGTTTACTGCTTCTAAAGGCCCTGTCACTAYGGTGTTTTTGACAACTTATGGCAACTTGTGAAAAGTTTGGAGATGTCTGTGTTGAAGATGGAATATAAAAAATCAACTGGAAGCCTCTTAGGCATGTACACACTGTAATGCTAACTAGTTGATCAAATATCTAACTTTTATTAGTAATTTAGTGGAAAAAACATTTTCATAAGTTGTCCAAATGCCGTAGTGTGACAGAGCATGGACATACTGGAAATGTAGCTCTGACGCTGCTGGAGGGAGGCACATATAAATCTGAGACATGTTSACTCTCTTCCTGTTTAAAGTAAATGAACTAAAGTGACCCCAGTATAAAATATAAGGCTGTATCTAAAATCCTATCTCATGAACCAATGGACAGATTTTACTGAAACTCTCAAAGTAATATTTGATGTACCTCTACAAAACAAAAATAGCCATACATATAATTATTCTGACGGTTGTTGAACTCAGATTTATTGTGTAAGTAGCTGAGAGTCGTTCCCGACACACATTAACTGGTCACCTGGGATTCTTTAGAAGCTTTCAGCAGGCAAGACGATGGTGATATACCTTCCTTCGAGGAATCATGTTTCTTTAGTATTCCTACACAAGTCACTCTGATGGGTTATAACTTCACTAACCCATCAACTGCAGTATTACTTTTAGTCACAATAATTAAAAAACAGTCAACGGTTAATGAGTTCAATATGTTATTTTCCCTTTAAAGATGTTTTTGTTTTACTTGCATACCTCAGCATCAAAGCTATTGTGTGCTCTAATYGACGTTTTGTGTTTCCTTCCAGGAGACGACAGACATCAGCGTTGTTCCTCCCATTGATGTGCTCTGGATCAAAGGCAGAGAAGGAGGAAATTACTATTACTCGTTCGGAGGCTGTCACAGGTTTGCTGCGTTTCAGAGGCTGAACATGCCAACCATCCCAGCTAAAATCATCAGATCAAACGTGTCCGACCTCAGAACCTACCTGGGGGCTTCAACACCCGATCTGCTGTGATGCCTATTCTTTTTATTTCATTTTTCATACGCATCTTTTTAGATTGACCACACAGAAAATGAAAGTGTTGGTTGTTTCTGGTGGCTGCAGTACACAGGGTTTACCAGCAGAGGGGAATAAAACTCTAAATAAACACACAGCTGATGCGCAACCGCTTTAATTTAAACATGTTTTTACTATTTAATAAATGTTATCCATCAGAGATGGGTCTGTATTAATCTAGAAATAAATAATAAATGAGACACAAAGATAATTGAAATGTAATTTGTTGTCAGTTATTCTCTAAAAAACAATGACGGTGTTATTTGTTTACATTTATTGCAAGAGAACCACAGTTTTTACAATTAACTTATAAAATATAAATACTGTATTTTCTTATGCAGAAGTTAACATGTATCAGAAATTTCAGTCTTGTCTTTTTTCTGTTTTATGTAAATTTATTTGTTTATTTTTGTTGTTTACACCAGGGGTGTCAAACTCATTTTCACTGAGGGCCACATGAGCGTTCTTTGACGTTTCATGTTTAACTTTGACTAAACAGTGTTTTAATATGTCCTCTTTTAAACACTGATAAGAAGTGTATGACTGACTAAATCTGAAATAAATACAGAAAAATTATTAAAAGTAAAGGCAGATTTAGTTTATGGTTGATGCTGACTTTAAAGCAGCTTATTTTCAGACATTAATACTGTGCTATCCAACTAAATTGCTCAGGGGCAGGAATTTATTAAATTTATTTTTATTTCGTTTATTTTTATTAAATTTATTTTGTTGCATTTAATGATAAATTTAAAGTTTACCATTCATATTAGAAACAATTTTCATGTTTTTTTTGTTTTTTTTTTGGTTGTGGGTACCCCCGCTGGCAGGCCACGCGGGAGTCACCCGCAGACCACATTTGGCCCACGGGCCTTGTGTTTGACACATGTGGTTTACACTATAACAACCAAATCTAAGAAGTAGTCTGTAAAATACCTAATGTGAAGAAAAACAGTCCTGCCAAAAACTGTTACAAAAAAATTGTTAGAGGTAAACACATTAGATGAATAAATCTCTCTCTCTCTCTTTCTCTCTCTCTCTCTCTCTCTCTCTCTCCATGCTCAATCAGTTCTGACGGGGATGTTCGAGCAGATGTTTTGTTAGATGAATCAGATGTTCTTACAAAATCAGACAAAATGCTGTTGAGTTGTGCAGAATTACCTCATTCTGCTCGTCATCAGTCTGTTATTGTTATCATCTGTGATCTATGAGAAAAAAATAAACAAATGTGCACTCTGAAACAATGAATGCTCATTTTATATAAAAATCCTTAACAAAAGACCGTGCAATGGTTTATATTGTAGCACTAATTGTAAAGAGTGTGAATTGTTTGTTATTGAACATRACCTGGATGTTTTCAGTAAATGCGTAAAGAAATAATTTTCTATCTTGTTTATTATGGTGTCTGACCTTGAGTCTGGCTCCACATATTAAATCAGGTCAGACAGCAGTTCCCCTGCCTCTGCCTGGCAGGAAGGAACTGTAGTTTTACAAAATAATATAGGTAAAATATAGACTAGGTCTTTCCGACATCGGTGCTCTCACAATGTGAGCGCCTTGCTGCTTGACGATCTCCCTTTGTGACCATCGAGGAAATGAAGGGCGACCCAGGGCAGCTTTTACCGCCCGCCCCCTAAACAACTCTAAAGTTCTCCTCTGAATCGTCGCGTGTGAGAAGATTTCCTGTAGCTCACTGACTGTCTGGAAGTAACCGTATCCTCAAAGGGGTTTTGACACGCAACACCGGTAAGAAAAAAAATGCATTGCACCTGTTGCTTGTGGGAGCAGTTTCCATGGGTGGTTTTTCACACTTCACCTTTGAAGGTTTAAAACAACCAAGAGTTMAGAGGAGAAACAGCCTGAGGCCACTTTGTCAATTTATTTATTTATAGTGAACGAAACAAACTTGCTTATTCGTCACTTGCAGGTTTAATCAGACGGCTCCCTGAAATCCTAAATTAGTGTGATTTTTGTTTGAGCTAGTTTGATCACCTGATAAAACATTTATAAAGATGAACTGAGGGAGTTTTACTTGTTGCAGTGAAGAAACCAACACTGAGAAAAAAAAGTTGTTGCATACATATTTTGTTTTTCTTTATTAAAAATAACTTTATGGGTTTAAATTCTTTTCTGTTGGACTTGACTTCTTTCTTGTGTGTGTAAAAGGGGGAAAAGAGGTAAAATCCAACCGAATAGTTGTTGGTTTACCTTAAAAGCTGACATATTGTTCCAGGCTTCAGAGGAAACATACTGTGTGCATGTCACATCAGATTCTGATTGAACATTTTCAAAAGTTGTGATTAATATGTTAAAGGTACATTTTCGGCTGTTAACAACTCATAAMAGCAATTCGGAAATATAGTTTTGCAAAGTACTTTACCAACTAATATGTCTAAAGAAGCCTTTTCTGCAGGGACAAGCTGCAGAGTGAGAAACGAGCAAGAGGAATAAAAGGTGCAAGAACTGGAAATGGTTTTGATAGCGTAATAAAATGTCTTAAGGGAAAGGTGAGTGTTGTAAACAAGTTTTATATATAAC